TGCTAACCTGTCACAGACTTCTTTGACCTGAGCTGTAGAGAGATTGTTTTCACAGTTCTTTCTAATGCTGATGAAATCCCCAGAACTTTATTTCAAATAATTGTAAACCTTTTGCAGTTCATTCCTGACTAAAAACCAGTGTTAGGGCCTCCTCTGGTGGCGCAGGTGGTTGAGCGCCATGCTGTGAAGCTGTCTGCAGCCTCCGCGGCACCGGTTTGATCCCCGCTGGCCAGCGAGGGTCTCACATGGCACGCAGACCTCTCCTGCCACGCCCGCTGCTCCCCTCAGCAGTGTATTTCGTCAGTCTGCCTGTTCTGTTCCCCGCTCTGTCTCTGGTGAATCTTCTCACCCTCCTGTGCATCTGGCCTGTACCCCGGTTCTTGTGTAAAATGAATAACTAAATCTTTAAAAACAAAACAAACAAAAAAACCAAACTAGTGTTAGAGAAACAATCTACCCCCTGTTGTTTTTACAGACTCCATGCCCAGCACCAAAGACACCACAGGTGTCAAGAGTTACAATTCCCAGCATTCCTTAGACCTGACTTTCTGAATGGGGACAGCTAGGGCCTAGAAGAGAAGCAGCCACACTTGGTTATAACGAACACACGCATGTTCAGATTCTCTTGAATTTTTCAGTTCTGTCTTGCACCCTCGTTCTGCTGGAAGGAGACACATAGGTGGAAGACTTGGAAGAGACACACAGGTGAGAGACATGTGAGGAGGCTGCTCCTGGTGCTTGGCAGAGACAATGGCAGCTGTTACCTTAATGTGGTATATTTTGAATTTTGACTTTCTCCTTCTGGCAGCTATCTAGGGCCTACCTAACCCCTTTTTTGTGGATCTCTGCCAGAGGGCACCTTAGACTTGTGTCAAGCTTTTGGCCCCCACCGACCCTCACTGACCCCACCAAGTCAGTTTGACTGGTCATTTGCACATGAGGGGATGGGCAATTTTTGGAGTTTTATTAAGACACTATTGTTTGACAAAAACAAAGAGAAACCCCACCACTGGGAGAACATTTTTGCACACAACACCAATGATAAAGGACTGATCACAAAAATCTACAGAGAGCTGATAAGACTCACCAAAAACAAAGAAAACAATCTAGTCAAAAAATGGGCGGAAGAGCTAAAAAGAAACTTCTCTGAAGAGGAAATGCAAATGGCCAACAGGCATATGAAAAAATGTTCAACATCACTTGTAATCAGGGAAATGCAAATCAAAACTACCATGAGATACCATCTTACCCAGTGAGAATGGCACATATTAAAAAAACTAGCAACAACAAATGTTGGCGAGGATGTGGAGAAAAAGGAACTCTTCTGCACTGCTGGTGGGAGTGCAAACTGGTCCAACCACTATGGAGAGCTGTGTGGAGATTTCTGGACCTACTAAACATAGAGCTTCCATATGATCCAGCAATTCCACTCCTAGGTATTTACCCAAATGACACAGAAACCTCAATTCCAAAGAACACCTGCACCCCTATGTTTATAGCAGCACTGTTTACAATAGCTAAGCTTTGGAAACAACCCAAATGCCCAAAAATAGATGACTGCATCAAGAAGATGTGGTGCATATACACAATGGAATATTACTCAGCATTCAAAAAAAGATAAACACATGCAATTTGCAGCAACATGGATGGCACTGGAAGAGATCATGCTCAGTGAAATAAGTCAGAAAGAAAAAGAAAAATAGGGGCCTCCCCTGGTGGCGCAGCGGTTGAGCACTGGGCTGCAAATCTGCCCGCAGCCTCTGCAGTGCCGGTTCGATCCCCGGCCGCTGATGAGGGTCCCACATGGCGCACAGACCTCTCCTGCCGCGCCCGTTACTCCCCTCAGCTGACAGTGTGTTTCCTCAGTCTGCCTGTTCTGTTCCCTGCTCTGGCTCTGGTGAATTCTCTCACCCTCCCACGCTTCTGACTGTACCCAGTGCTTGTATAAATAAATAAATACATATAAAAAAAAAAGAAAAGAAAAAGGAAAATACCAGATGGTCTCACTCATAGCAGGAATCTAGAAAACTTAAATAAGGGACCAGGAAAAAGTAACTGTAAGAAAGAAAATATCAAAATCAACAAACAACTATGAACCAGAGACACTCTGTGGGGGCTGGGGGGTGGGGAAAGGAAGGCTTGGGGTCAAAATAATGGGGTTGTAATTGTTAGGGGAATATAAAAAATAAAATTTAAATAAAAAAAGAAAATTAAAAAAATAAAATGGTATTTAATAAAAAATAAGATAAAGGATTATATATATACGTTTCCTTAAGATAAAGGAATATATTCAAGTTTAGCTTTTATTTTTTACAAGTTGGTTAAAAGAGTTTAAGATTTCACTTTGTTAAAAATGAAAAGATGTCAGCAACAGAACCATATTTTGTTGCCTAGGTAGCAGAAATGTTAACAACTCTGTCTAATATAAGATTTCTAAATAAATCTATGCCTAAAAAAGACACTATTGTTTGAAATCCTGCCTTCTCTCTTTCTCACTATGCACACAAATTATATTAAAAATCATTCACGGGCCTCCCCAGTGGCGCAGCGGTTGCGTGCTGGGTTGTGAAGCTACCTGCAGCCTCTGCAAGCACCAGTTCGATCCCCGGCTGCTCCCTGGCCACTGGAGGAGGGTCCCGCATGGTACGAAGACCTCTCCTGCCGCCCGCTGCTCCCCTCAGCAGTGTACTTCGGTCCTTCTGCCTGCTCTGCTCCCTGCTCTGGCTCTGGTGAATTCTCTCACCCTCTCACGCTGCTGACTGTACCCAGTTCTTGTATAAATAAATAAATAAATCTTACAGAAAAAAAAAAAAAAATCATTCACACCTGGGGCCTCCCTAGTGGCACAGGGGTTAAAGACACAGTGCTATCAAGCTATCAATAGCCACGAGTTTCATCCAGCCAGGGAGCTACCCACATGGCATAGCAGACCTTTCCTGTCTGGCCCGCTGCTCCCCTCAGCAGTGTATTTCAGTAGATCTGCCTGTTCTGTTCCCCACTCTGTCTCTGGTGAATCCTCTCACACCCACCCCACCCCCCCGCACCATTCTTGAACTAATCTACAGGGACCTCTCAACACCCACTCCTCTAGCTCCAGAAATATACAAAACACACTCAAATGTACTTGTTTTGTTTACATCAAAACATCTTTCCTTTTCCTCACCCCATCCTCAAACCCTCCCACCCCATTCAAGATTGACCTGTCAGTCTATTTTAACCATTTAATAATTTTTTGTAGTTTCTGAAAATAAATTATATAGTAACCACGTGTAAAGGCAGGAACAGACACAGTGCAGGTTTTCTGATCCAACAGACTGGGTAAAGGAGGAGTCAGAGTCCTCAGTGGCTTTTGCAGGTTTTTTATTGGGGTTCACCAGGCATATGGCAGGCAGGGGTGCTGGGGGGCTGGGAGGCTGGCAGTCCTCCCAGCCCCCAGCAAATCCGCACTCTCTCTGGGCTCTCTGCTTCCACTTCTTTGCTTTTCTCTCTGCTTCTCTTCGGCTTCTTGGCTTCTTGGCTTCTATTGGCGTCCCTGTGACGCTGCCCTTAAAAAGCACAGTCTCAGCCCAGGTGTACCCACTCCAGGTGCCCGCCGTCAGGCATGCATTCAGGACCACAGGGTTCCCTCATCTATCCTGATGGCGGGAGGGCAGAAAAGCCTGATACATTTTACCTTACCCTACACCACGTTAATAAATGAAGCACAAAAAAGGACAGTAGAGGAGGAAAATTAAATGGGAGGACAAAAGTCAGGCCACACTTTGGTTTAAAAGAGGGCTCAATGGCTAAGGGACAGCAGCTCCCCTTCTGGTGAAGAAGTAGCAACACCTGAGCCCTGAATTAGGTTTATTTTTGCAATGAAGGTTTATTTTCCCAGAGGGTTGGGGTGGTTAGGATTTTAGAAACTCGAGGTGTCCTCTTTCATATGCTTCTGTCTCAGGTAAAACACTCAAGGAGCAGTCAAGAGTTGTGATTTGTTCACTCATTTTCCACCTCAATGTAGTGGATTGGTTCTTAATAGAGAACAGTAACATCATCACAATCCATTGGGGTGATAAGTCCCTCAGAGACTTCTAGTTCTGAGGGATTAGAACTAAATTGAAGGGAACAGGGGTGCAACCATCCTGGTACTAGCATTACCTCTACATTAAATAAAATCCTATGCTTTAAAGGGGTTAAGCATCAGCACTATGAAGCTATCTGCAGCCTCTGCAGCAGGAGTTCCATCCCTGGCCAGCCAGGGAGCTACCCACATGGCACAGGAGACCTCTCCTGTCTTGCCAGCTGCTCCCCTCAGCAGTGTATTTCAGTAGATCTGCCTGTTCTGCTCCCCACTCTGTCTCTGGTGAATTCTCTCACACCCACCCCACCCCCCGCACCTTGGCCTGTACCCCAGTTCTTATATGCATAAATAAATGTTTTAAAAAATTCTAATGCTTTATGTAGGGTAACGTAAAAGGTATCAGGCTTTTCTGCCCTCCCGCCATCAGGATAGATGAGGGAACCCTGTGATCCTGAATGCATGCCTGATGGCGGGCACCTGGAGTGGGTACACCTGCGCTAAGACTGTGCTTTTAAGGGCGGTGTCACAGGGACGCCAGAAGCCGAGAAAGCAGCAGCAGAAGCCGAAGAGAAGCCGAGATCATCAGAGAGCCCAGATAGAGTGAGGATTTGCTGGGGGCTGGGAGGCCTGGAAAAATAGGCTGCCAGCCTCCCAGCCCCCCAGCACCCTGCCACATACCCGCTGAACCCCAATAAAGACCTGCAAAAAACCACTGAGGACTCTGACTCCTCCTTTACGGGTCTGCATGGGATCAGAAAACCTGCACTGTGCCCGTTCCTGACCTTTACACTTTATCACCCAATTTGGGGTTATCTGGAAGGAAAACTATACTATAAAGGAATATCCAGTTCTTGGCATCCTATGTAGAAGAAATCAATGATTTTGAGGACTCTGAAGAGAACCACTATTTTTGGATAGACTTTGTAAAATGTCAATGGTGCTGGCTTTGGCAGCACATACACTCAAAGTGGAACAATACAGGGACGTTTAATATGGCCCCTGCTCAAGGATGATATGCAAATTTGTGAAGCATTCCACATTTTAAATATAAAAAATAAACTGTCACCAATCATACAGAAGCCTTTCTCGATCTGCATCATTACATTCTATGGTTTCTAAACATCTGCACAGAAGGGGAATGAAATAGCCTTTACACTGACTCCCTCAAAACACTGCTTCTTGGGCTAGAGCTATGTGGATGTTTATTCCTCATTTGAACACAAGCCATCATTCCAAGAGGCTCTTTCTGGAGATGCCGGTAATTATGTGGATGAATTATTTTTCAACTTTGAACTTCAGTTTTTAAAATGGGCCAAGTCAGGGCCTCCCTGGTGGTGCAAGGGCTTAAGACGCAACCTATGAAGCTGTCCACAGCCACTGCAGCAAGAGTTTGATGCCCAGCGCGCCAGGGAGCAACCCACATGGCGCAGCAGACCTCCGCTGATTCGCCTGCTGCTCCCCTCAGCAGTGTACTTCGGTCAGTCTGCCTGTTCTGCTCCCCACTCTGTCTCTGGTGAACCCTCTCACCCCCCACACTTCTGGCCTGTACCCCAGTTCTTTTTTTTTTTTTTTTTTTTTTTTTTTTTTTTAAATTTTTTTTTTTTTTTTATAGAGGCATGCTTTATTTATTTGTTTGCTGGTTTGTTTGTTTTGTTTATACATGCACTGGGTACAGTCAGAAGCGCGGGAGGGTGAGAGAATTCACCAGAGCCAGAGCGGGGAGCAGAGCAGGCAGAAGGACCGAAGTACACTGCTGAGGGGAGCAGCGGGCGGCAGGAGAAGTCTGCACGCCATGTGGGACCCTCCTCCGGTGGCCGGGGAGCAGCCGGGGATCGAACCGGCGCCGCAGAGGCCGCGGGCAGCTTCGCAACCCAGCGCTCAACCGCTGCGCCACCGGGGAGGCCCATGTACCCCAGTTCTTGTATGCATAAATAAATCTTTAAAAATAAAATAAAATGGGCCAAGTCAGAGGAGACGCTTTTATCCATGGATGTGGATAACTCAGATTTAAGAAACTTAGTTGCATACTCAGGTCTTTTCTCATGTGTCTGTCTCATCGTCAAGCTTCCTAGAGCTGCCAGAGTCACACGCCATGGGAAAGAGCATGGGATTTAGAAGTAGAGGACCTGCGTTCAGACACGGGCTCTGCTCCCTGCCAGCCCAGGGGGTTTTCATGAGTCACCGTGATTTCCTTCACTATAAAATGGGCTGATGCGCCTTTACAGGCTTATTGTGAGGACTAAATAACACTTAATACAGAACTTGGTAAATTTTTAAAAGTCATTCATTATTATTTATACTCTCCACAGAACCTATCACTGTGCAACATTAGTTTTTACTGAATTCCAACTATTTTCAGAACAAAGCTAGAGTGTAAATGCTGGGTTCCTGGACCTTTACATCTCGAAAGTAATTTTTCCTCCACCTTCTCCATTCCTCCAGCCTGCTGTCTCTTACTGTAAATCCTTCTCCTTCTGGACTCCCCCAGACATCTGACTCTTCATGGAGTTCCCTGGGAACCTCCAGCTGCCAGACCTCTTGTTACCAGGCAGGGGCAGTGGGCTCTTGAGTTCTTCACTCAAGGATGAAATGAGGACTCTCCCCAAGGCAGCTGCTTTTGAAGCTGAGATTTAATGAAGCAATGGAGCCACAGGAAGCTCCAGGTGTCTCCCTGGGAGTAACAGCCTCTCCCTTATATAGACCACAAGGAGCCTAACACAAAGGATGACCTTACTCTACATGGAGCAGACTTGTGTGGCCACAGTAGTCATGCTTCTTTAAGAGGTGCATGTTCAGAAAACGAAGAGCAAACCCCACCCTGAGGGGATCTCAGTATTATAGTGAGGACAAGGTCAAAGTTCAAGAAGCTAAGTTCTCAAGATGCATATGCGCCACCAAGTGTCCAAGTGCAGTAACAGTTCCACTTTGTAGTGTCTGAACTGCTCAGACAATTCACTGAAGATTTATTTATTTATGCATACAAGAACTGGGAGACAGGCCAGAGGTGTGGAGGATGAGAGGATTCATCAGACACAGAGTGGGGAGCAGAACAGGCAGACGACCGAAATACACTGCTAAGGGGAGCAGCGGGCGAGTCAGGAGAGGTCAGACAAGTCACTAAAACAAAAAAGTTACTAGGGACAGAAAGTAAGTAATGATTTGCTGTTGATCATTAAGCTATGACTTACAGGCACTATTGTAAGTGTTCTTGTTTCCAAGACTACAGGCAAGGGGAAGGAGCAAGCACACCCAAGACGGCCCCTGTCCCACTTCAGAGGGACTGTTTGGTCCCACAGTTACAAAAAGAAAGCAGCCCATGGAAAGGCCAAACTCCCACAGTATATTCTGGAAACTCTGCTGCACACTTCCCAGGGCCCTCACTTTTACTCAGGGGCCACGAAACCATCCTTTGAGTTCACCAGGTATTTTGGATTTGCTCCTCCCGAAAGCCTTGGCAGTGTTGGTCTCCTCCTAACTGGAGCCTGGGTGCAGGGAACGCAGCAACAGTTTGCTTTGGGTCAGTAAATTCTAAACTCAAGCTAAAATCTCCAAGTTTTATATTTTGCTGAGTCTCAATAAGGAGATTCTCTGGTTTCAAGACCCGATGCACTATCCCTCTATGATGGCAGTATTGCAGAAATAAATTCTAGCCTTTTACCCAGGCAAGGGAAGAACAAGCGGTACGGTACTTCAGGAATGGTGAGGTCAGGAGAAGCTTTATTACTCATGCAATGAGGTCCAGACCTGGGTAGCCCTGTCTGAGCACCGGTCTAGAGACAAAGGGTTTCTTTTATACACAAGCATCTTACGTTGATAACATGGGTTAGCAAGCACAACTATTTGCTGTAAAACTCCTAGACAAAGGGGGAAAGATGGACATTTGGGGATGTCCTTCCAGAGATAAATCAGCTTGGCCGGCTGTCCGACCTTGTTAAAATGTAACATCATTTAGATAAGCTAAAAACTTAATTGGAAAGCTCTCTAAGGAAAGGTTTATCAAGTAAGCAAACTTGTTATTTACAATTGCATTGGATTATTTACTGCACCAGGCCTAAGACCCTTTAGCAGGAAAGATTTATTAGCTTGGCAATTCCTTTTCAGCAGTACTGCAGCACAAATTGTTAAACAAAGCTTGTTTAATTTGTTAAACTTGACTCCGGCCCCTTTTTCTATCATGCAACCATGGTCCCAAAGATCAGCATGCCAGTGTATGACTTTACCATACTCTAGGAGGATCAGATCATCCTGTGTCGATCACCTGGAATAACTTCGTGATGGACGGATGAGTCATACTGTGGACTTCTCTGACATGGACACAACAAAAAGATTTTGTTTTAAATTAAGGTGACGCTGCTTTACAACACTTAGATTTAAGGGGAAATCACCTCAGATGTATGTCTCACTACACCCACCACCACAGCACCCCTGATCCTTTACACTAGACTGTTGGGTCGACTCCTTTATCCCTCTGCCCTTCTCTTACCCTCTATAGCCTCAATTCTGCAGTCATATTTCTAGGGTTTTGTTTTTGTTTTGTCAGTTCCTTTCTTTTGCTTCTCTATATTCCACAAGCGAAAAAAGGACTTCAGAGGTTTGTGTTTATATGAATTACTGAAGATTGATGTCTATTAAAAAATTAAAATGTGTAAGATGCTTTAAAAGGCCTTTTCATTTCCAGTTTGAAATCTGTACTAGTTTTTGACTTTTCAAAGACCTCCTAATGCATGCTTAACATACTCATTTTCCTTAAACTGATTGGTATAGAAATGATGTTACAAATTAAGTGATATTGCAATACTATAGGAAAATGATCTGTTGCTAACACGTGGTAAGGTACATTACCATACATCTAGAAAGATGGGAAGATGATAGCTTTCACTCTATTTTTTGCCAATAAGATGAGCACATTTATCAGAAACCTTGGAGGCCGGAGGTCAGTGAACTGATCTATTCAAGATGTGGAAGGAAGCAAGCTGCCAACCAAGACTCCTTTATCTAGCATAACTGACCTTTAAAAATGAGGGAGAAATTAAGACATTCTTAGATAAACCAAAGCTGAAAGAGTTCTCTACCTCTATCCTGCCTTAAGGGAATATTTCAGGGGAAATAAAAAGACACTGGACAGTAATTCAAAATTCATAAAGAAATAAAGATCTCTAGTAAAAGCTTTATAAAGACTTTCGCTCTTATTTTTTTATATTTTATTTTATATAATTCTTACATCATTTTTCATCTTTGCACAATGTATGCATTTTCATTATGGTTATATTCCCCATACAATTGCACCCCTCCCTTATTTTGACTCTAGTCCTTCCTTTCCCCGCCCCTCCCTCCGCCCCCCTCCATAGTGTGTCTCTGGCTTAGAGTTGCTTGTTGATTTTGATTTTTACTTTGTATTGATTAGTCTTTTTCCTGGTCTCTTATTTAAGTTTTCTAGATTCCTGCTATGAGTGAGACCATCCGGTATTTTTCTTTTTCTTTCTGACTTATTTTGCTGAGCATGATCCCTTCCAGCACCATCCATGTTGCTGCAAGCTGAATGTGTTCATCTTTTTTGATTGTAATATTCCATTGTGTATATGTACATCTTCTTGATCCAGTCATCTATTTTTGGGTATTTGGGTTGTTTCCATAGCTTAGCTATTGTAAATAGTGCTGCTATGAATATAGGAGTGCAGGTGCTCTTTGGAATTGATGTTTCTGTGTCATTTGGGTAAATACCTAGGAGTGGAATTGCTGGATCATATGGAAGCTCTATGTTTAGTAGGTCCAGAAATCTCCACACAGCTCTCCATAGTGGTTGGACCAGTTTGCACTCCCACCAGCAGTGCACAAGAGTTCCTTTTTCTCCACATCCTCGCCAACATTTATTGTTGCTAGTTTTTTTAATATGTGCCATTCTCACTGGTGTAAGATGGTATCTCATTGTGGTTTTGATTTGCATTTCCCTGATTACAAGTGATGTTGAACATTTTTTCATATGCCTGTTGGCCATTTGCATTTCCTCTTCAGAGAAGTTTCTTTTTAGCTCTTCTGCCCATTTT